TTAATTATAAAATTGTATTGACCTTATAAATAGAACCCAGCCCATTATGCACATAGAACAAAATAAGCTGTAGTTTATCATCACACGGCGGAAAAGCTCCCCCACAGGTTTATAAGTATAATTAAATCAATTTTATACAGCATTGCAAAAATTCATTGTCATATTTTTAAGAAATGTATTATATTGTAGTCCCTGAATAGCATTTTTATGATTCATCCATGTTTTGAAAAGTCCTTAAAGATTACTACTGGAATAATAAAATATCTGACATATTATTAATCATATATTAAAAAGATTACACTTTCTTTCAAAACCCCCAAGCATGTACAAAAATGTTGTGGAAGCAAAAATCCCTCAGCATAATAAATCACAACAATACAAAACAGTAATGCTGTTATGCTATTAAATAGACAAAAGTATTTTTCCTGTCTTACATGAATGAAATTTACAAACATGAATTACAGTTGGGCCACATTCTCACAGATGACATATCAGAAAATCTAGATGCTATACCGTAGTGTGTTCCCCACCCTCTACATTAGGTAACATTAAGTAAGAATAAATATACTTAACCAGTGGACATCATTAATAATAATATCTTTTGAGAAAATATTAGAAAAATCTAAGAAAAGGGCATTTCTGAATCTTAAGAAGTATGGCTGCTGTTCAAGGTCCATTTCCATACTTCTGAAAAAGAATATTCCTATTGCTCACTGCTCTACTATGGAATAATTAAATGGCTTGTTTTACATATAGTAGAAAAGCCAAAATGTGATTCTTTTTTTTTTTTTTTGCTTGATGTGTGGTTGCATCCAGTATGGCTTAGCATTTAATATACACCAGACAATTATGGCTTGTTCAACAAACCACAATTAATGTTTACAAATTCTGATTTGGTATTATATTTATTATATATGAGCCATTCATATATTTAATGGCTACTGATACCATTAAATGGACCAAGTCTTTTTTCCCTCCTTGTGTTAAAACACATATTCAGCAACATACTGTCACTGAATGTGATCAATGATGTTAAGTTGCATACACAAATCCAAAGCTTCAAGTATGCTATTTTGTTTGGACTGCTGCTATCGCTAAGCTTCCTACAAAGTTAGTATTTGGTTTTTTTTAAAAAAGATTACTTTCACAACACATCTAATTTTCCAAACTGAGAAGAAAATGACACATTATTTAGAAATGTAATAAATACATAATTTCTTTCCCCTCTTGATCCTTTACAGTTAAATTACTGAAACATCATATTTTGATGTTGATAATATGAATAATTTAAAATCTTGAAATTATTTAGAAGTGATGCTCTGAAATGTGTAGATATACAGATCCACCACCTCTCTATGATTCATTAAAGCAGTTACCCAAAAGCTTCTCCCGCAGCCACACAATGTAAGAAATTCTGCTTTAAGGAGTCCTACACTAGTGCTGTGTCTATGTTCCCTTATGCTCCAGAGCCTCTCTTTTGAATTGATTAGGGACACTGCACAATTCTGTTACTGTATGTTTTAATACAAGTGATGGTTTTGCTTCTTTTGAATATGGTTTGAATTTAAGTGGTCTCCTTTTTTAGAAAAAGAAAAAGAGGTTGAAAGTATAGGCCTTTTCAAGTTGGATAGGAGACGCTTCATTGGGACATATAGGCCCAAATCTTTTTTTATTACAAACTATACTGTATTCTATCTAGCCTTATACCAGCCCTGCCTTTCTTTATGCCTGTGAGCTTCATTTGAAACTAAAAAAGAAATCTTCCTGCCCTGAGCAATAAGAAACTCTCCTAAGTTATCCTCATGACAACTGATAAATTTGTCTATAATATCTTACTGTATTACATGAGTGTAACCTTCCTATCCTCAGGCAAGCACTTTTGTACGGAAAAGATCGGAGGTTTTCAAAAGAAAAGACTGCTGCTTTTCTCAGCACTAGAATTTTCCAGAATACTTTGATGTTACACAGTGCTAGAGTGGTACTTTAATTTCTGCAAATGGCAATACCAAAGGGTAATTTTTCTTTAGAATCTCTTAAAGTCCCAATTTCTCATCCTTCCAATATTAGGTTACCCCTGGCCTCCTTCCTATGTACATTTTTCAGCAAAATAAGTTGGAACATCTTCTGACATAGACAGTTAGAAAAGAATCAGGAACTTGATGCCAAATTGATTTGGTAATCCTAGACAAGACTTGCTTTTATCTACTGTTTAAATAACTAAAGTCCAGTTGGGGAAAACCAGTCCAGGTACTATGGCAGCCTTCCATTACAAGACATGTTCTAGTCCAGGGGTCTCAAACTCACAGCCCGTGGCCCGGATGCGTCACATACTGGCCCCCTCCCCGCCCGGTTTAGCGAAGGGAAAAAAAGCCCCGATACGTCACGTGACGCCACTGTGATGACGCAAGTTTGACACCCCTGTTCTAGTCAGTGTTGTTGTGCCGACAATCACTCTGATTTGCAACTACCCCATAAAATGAATTTGCCCTATCATATGTATCCCTTGGGTGTTCCAAAATATGGCTGTCACTATAGACATTGTCAAATAACTGGCAAGCCATAATAGAAGCCACATTTAACTTTACATATTGTGAATTGTATAGAATGTCTCAAATTATTGCAACTAGCAACAACTGATTCATTCAGATCTGGTTGTACAGTTTCCTACTGGGTAAGAAAGCACAACTGAGAACTATACTCTCACAGCAATTTCTGCCTTTTCATCTCTGTATCATTTTTAAGAGGCTGTCACAGTCTCAATTTTTTTCAATTACTGTCACAGCAACAGCTATTAGGCCTTTTAACTGCAAAGTATGCTGATCTTTAGGATTATAGTATTTTTCAATTTTATCATGCATTAGTACTTAAAAGCTATTTATAGAGTAAAAGCATTTAGCTTGTCTCGTTTGAAAACAATATTGGTTATCTCTCTTGAACTAGTATAGCTGTATCCCAATAAATATAATCCATTTCAAACAATATAATAATCTTGCTAACTGATTTGGCAAAAATGGATTAAACCAAGTTTTCCCAAAATTGTATCCTTCAAATGTGGTGGAATGCAACTTCCATTACTGTCAGCAGCAGCATCCTGCTATACAGGCTGGGAATGATAGCGGCTGTGGTTCCAATACATCTAAAAAATATTTGATTGGGAAGGCTTGATTAAACATTTTTTAAAACAAATATAAAAAATAAAAATGGACAAAAATAAAAATCATGTAGTGGCTAGTTACCATTTTTTCAAACGCTCCATTATACGGTATAAGAATGGATTTACTACTTTCAAGATAGTATGTTTAAAGTGGAATGTGGATAGTAATCTATATTAGGGGGTACTTTAAGCACATACTTGAAACAGTACTGCATTTCTTTTACAGTGTATTTGGACATTCAAAGGAATCTAAGGGAGATCTTTTAATTGGAGGAAGGCCCTACTGAATTCAGTGGGAATTATTTCTGAGGTAGAGAAGTATACTGTCAGAAAATGAACTTGGTTTTTGTATATTCCTCTGTTTAACTGCAAACAGAACCCTGAAGTTTATTCTAACCTGCCAAAACAAACAAAGCAACAAAATCAGTCAATTTTAACTTGGCAATTGCCAGTTATTAGATGGTGCCTGAATCCCAAAGCCCAAATTGTTAGTCCTTTCCAAGTGTAATGGAGGACTTAATCTCTAGCTAGTTGTTCTGAAAAATTCTGAAAGACAATAATATCAAGATAAAATCACAACAGAACATCTGAACTCAAAATATTAATGTTATTTTGGGCCATTTTCACTGTGTTAACATAAGTCATCTAACAAACACTGAAACTCATCAGGCGGCCTTGTTTTCAGGTCTCCTGCATTGTTCTTTGTGGTCCTTAAGTATTCATTCAAAGTAATTCATATAGTACTTAGTTTAAGGCAGCTTCTATGATCCGATGACTTCTAGGTATGTCAAACTACAACCCCATTATCACCAGTCAGCCTATATCTTTGAAGCTTGCTAGATTGGAGAAGCTCTTTAAAATTTAGAAGGCACTGAAAACAGCAAGAAAATCAGAAAAGTCTTATGTGACAGGAACTTGTCCTATAGAATAAGCTTTTCTGGGTGGAATCAGGGCAGGAAAATTGCCTGAAATATTAAACAGACTCAATAGTTTCCTACAAACAGTGAGAATGGGTTTAAAATGGACATCTGAATTCAGAGTTGGAAACATGTTTCTAAAAGCTATTAAACTAACCTTGATGTGATGCAGAACTTTTCAAATATATAATACCCTGATTTTGGTTTGCTATGCTAGAGGTTTTTCTTTATCATTGCAGTCATTGTTATAACATTTACAACTCCCAGAGTTTAGAAATGCGATCTGAAATCCTAATCTGATTGAGTTGCATGATGTGGCAGAAAACCTATTAGGCCATGGAGCTTCACATATGCTACTGTCATGATAGGTGCACCAGCAGCACAAGTCCTTGACCACAATGCATTTTCCTGAAGGGTCATTAGCAAAGCAAATAACAGTGTTTTCAAGTCTTGGAAAAAGTTAATGCAGATATTTTTTCCTTGTTTTAAAATAAAAGAACTGAAAATAGAGACAACTACAGAATAGCCAGGTATCCAGACAGGGAAAGATAGGCCTGCTTTGTTAAGGAGTCCTCAACAGTACAGTAAAAGTCTTTAGAGAGGCAAATTGTTTGATGTAACTGTTGTTATACTACTTCCTTAGGAGGGACATTTGTAGCAAGCTACAAAAAGCAGATGGAAAGTTTTACAGCACAATTCTACACGTTATTCTTAACACTAAGACCTTTTGGTGCAATAGGTGTTACTGAGAGAAGCAGTTTGTCTTAGCAGAGTGACATGACTTTAAATCAATTTTACAGTGTATTAGCTATTAAAGAGAAAATGTGTATAATGTCATTAGCTTTACTGCAGAAAACAACTTTTTGTGGGATTTTTTTCTTTTATCACAAAAGAGGGCACAATGTATGCAATAAACATACAAATATACATAATTTTAAAACCACAATTATATTTGGCACAGTTTGTTTTTGGAGGAATGTTAAAATGTTTGACTTAAAAAAGTACAGTAAGAAGCTGAAGTTAAAAGATATTCCAATAAGGCCACATGGCAAGTTCATCAAAGTGCCAGTATTAATCAAGGAGAACTCCCAAAGCATCCTCCACGAAAGGTATGGGAGAGGCAAACGACTTCTAAAGATCCATGTCGGTGGTGCCAGAGGAGGTCTTCAAGGGCACAGAATCAAAACCATCAGATGTTCTCTAAAGATAATACAAAAAGGAGATGTGAATAAAACTAGAATACATGAAGATTTTGTATACTTTGTCATTCAGAGTCCTATTTTTATAGGAATCAGGTCAAATCCTTTATTTAGTGACCTGGAAAGGGCAAACAATGCAATCCTGCTCCTTCTATTCACAGAACATGAGAATGGCTCCCATAAGAACTTACGGTGAAACAAGTGTTTCCAGTGTATAGGAACTGTACACCTGTTTCAGATGTACAGGGACTATATCTTCCAGAGTTCCCAGGCAGCATACCAAAGCTCAAGCAAGCTGGGAATTCAATAAATGCAATTTCAACTCATTAGTAGTGAGTCTAATATTTCTCTACCAGTTGCCTCCATGTTCTTCTGAACATATTCCAACATGGGAGGAACATTTAATAGCAACTGAAGACTCTCTGATTCTTACCAGAAACTTGCTTTTGATGTTTCTTCCCCAGATGTCCGCACATGATTTTGCTTCTACTGGGAGGTATCAGTGCACTGGGGGCCAAAGAAGGGTCCATTTGAGGATACTTGCAGTTAAGATACAGTTTAGCTGCTTGTGAATAGCACTGGATACTTCTCACAATCCCTTTTCTTGAGAGTGACATTTTTTAAAAAAAATATTTACAAATATTGAAAACGAAGCTGTTGTCAGCCCCAGATTTTGGTATGTTTTGTTTTTTAAATACTCAGTTTTTAGTTCCTAGTTCTGCTGTTTTAAATGATCCCTATTGCATTTTTTAAATAAAAAATAAAGGAGCAAGCAACTGCTTTAAATATAAAAAGCAATAGGAGCTAATTAAGAATCAGTTTAGAACTGCTGAAGAGAGAAATGAATGAGAAACACATAAGCAAGGGACTGTTTAACAGAAGTTGCTTTTGAAAGAAAAAAGAAGGTATTTGCAGACTGAGGGCTTCAATTCTAGGTGGTGGTGTGAATGCAGAATGATAATATTTCTGAATAACCAAGATTTAGATATGGCCCATGAATAAGAATGGAGAACTCTACACTTGGATTGCAGAGGAACAATCCTCAGCAGTGCTAAAGGTCCCTTGTGTGGAAGCAAACTCTGATGGATCTCAGTGCATTCAAATGAAGCACCTGGAATGGGAAGAATGTAAGAGCTTCTAAATATCTTTGCACACAGATAGGACCAACTCTTTGCCAAGCCCCCCTTTACTATTCATCTCACTAGGGGCTTTACACCTACAGTTATGTGTACCATGAAATAACCATGAATAGAGTCATTACTTCAGAATGGATGAGAAGAAAAATTGAGGTGAGGAGCAGTCAACATTTGCCTGTGCACACAAATGGCTTGCTAAATACTTAAGTGCATATTTTTGCTGAATCATCATTGGGGGCAAACCCAAATTACTCAAGTTTCCCTCTAGTCTCAAGAATTGGGGAGGAGGATTTTTCATCTGCAGAATTAAATTCTCATGTCTTTATTGCATTCATGGAATTTAAGCATCTAGAGCCAGGTTCCATGCTCTGCTTTGGTTGTCCAGCTTCACAGAAAGTTAGTGTAGAGCCCGGGCTCTAATTCCCAAATGAGGTATCTGAGCAAAAGACCAGCTGGTAACATAAAATACTCATTGGTCTTATTCTGAAGAATGTTTAACAAGCAGTCACTTCTTCCAGAGATAGGCCAGGGTTCCACATCTTTTTCTGGATTAGATATACAATCCTGTACTTGCAATATGAATTTTAAGTCTCCTGTGCAGCCTTCCCTATCATGCCCCTTCCATCTACACTGCATTAAAAGTCCAATAATTCCACATTAACAGTCATGCTTATTGGGAGTTATTGAAGGTTGTAGTTCAACACTTTTTGAGCGTTAGTTTGAAAAGGTTGTACTGCTAAATGTCTTCAAGTACACTATTTCCTCAAATCTCTAAGAACAGAGAGTCTGTGATTTTAGGCACAGTTTAGCCTTCCCCACAATACAGGCCTTCTATGTCCCAGCCAGAGACCACAGACCGTGCTGTCAAGCTGTCTAGTAATATTTGATTGTGGCACACCCTTCATCTGCTGGCATGTTTTTACATGTATCTACATTTGACTCCATCTACCTGGAAGAGTCTTCCTCTTAGTTTATTGAGAACAGCCCTACACACAGAGTCCTGCCATGCCTGACTGTACCTAAGAGAAGCCTATAGGAAAACAAATAGCCACATTAGAAAATAAGCATTAAACGACAATGCACCATTAATTAGAATGTAAGTTAGAACAACAGGAAACATAGCAGTAAATGTGGAGAGGCTTTGAGATTTTATGGTACACACAGATTTATCCCAGAATAATAGGGATGCCAGTGCAGTATTTTGCCAGATCGACAGTATATGAGTTATTATTGGTGATGATCTGTTGCATCTTAGAAAATTTAATGTATTTATTATTGGGATGGATGGGGAAAGGTCCTTTTAACTTTTGCTACTCATTTCTGCCAGAAATACTAGCAGGGGAGAAAAGAAACACTCAGAACAATTCTATTGGCTTGACTCATGAGGCTTGTACAGTATGCAGCCTATAGTAGCCAAGATCATTAATTACAAACAGCCACAAATTTTTTTTTAAAAAAAATAGCTTCTACAATGCACATCCTGGGAATACTTCATACATTAGCTGAATTTAGAAAATGGTAACTCAGAGTGGACTCAAAAGTTAAATATGACAGATGAAACATCTGTCAAGGTTAGATAAACACAGGAACTAAATCAAAGGTCTGAACTTTCACTCTGGACACTTATAAAAGCTATTTTCCCACCCCTTCCCCTTTCCCTCCCAGCTTACTTTAGAAGTGAATGCCTTTATTTTTCCAAAGAAAGAATTCTTGCTTGTGAATAACAGGTCGTCCTCTACGTCTTCCCCCTCCATGATGGCACAACTGTCAGCTGCAGGCAGTTCACTGTCCTTGGCACTAGCATTCATAACCAGCTTTGAGTATTTATACTCTAACCTAAAAAGATATAGACATGTGAAAATCAGATGGAAGGATTATATTTGTAAAGCAGATTTTGGATTCTTTTGCATCCTTGAGTTATTCTGTCAATGTCTTTTACATTTCTCTTTTTTAATATGTTTTCTTTTTAAACTAGACTAATCTAGCCTTCCTTAAACCAGGCGATTCCTCTAATGTCTGAACTTTAACTCCCAGAATTCTCAGCAATGGCTAAATTAGATGAAGGCCACACATCTGCAAAGCACTAAGACTGGAAAAGACAATGCTGACTTCTCTATTTCAAAGCAACACAAGCATCAATTGTTATTACAGATGCTAAACAGGGACTTTATTATAATATAAAGTCATCTCTCTCACACACACTTTCTTTTTTGAGAAACCAAGGAATATTTATTTGTTACAAATTTTCTAGGTTGCTTCAAATAAATAACTAAACAATTTATAGCCTAATATAATTCATATAATACATTATATTAAATATAAGTGTGTAATGGCTGAAATTCAAAAAAAAAGCAAATAGAAAATAAAAAACACGCATGTAACTTTACATACTTTTACATGGCTATTATGCAAAATATTAGCACTTGAAAACTGACTTGCAGCTTTTGTTATTGCCTGCTGTGTTGTTCAAAATTATTTTAAAAAGTTAACTAGGATGGGAGCTTTGTATAAACTACCATAATACAGAAAACCCCACATTTGAGAGACTAGGTTCAATGGATTTCACATAAAATGAACATTTTTTTTCAAGGCAAAGTACAATTCATTATTAAATCTGAATGTTAATTACATCTGTAAATGATGTCCACATATCTATTTCCACCAGTTTATATCATTTGCATACTCTATGCAAATAATATAAAGACACCATTTCATAAATATGTCATTAAAAAAATGTGGGAAATTAATAAAAGACATCATTTACTGTTTTAATGAAATTTCAGTTTGCTGACCCAAAGAGTCTATTAAACTGAAGATTTCTGGCCACAGTCAGAATTGATGACAAGTGGAGTGAAACAACTTACTTTTGATTTTTCTTCCAGAAGTAGCAAGTCATGACGGTCAGCAGGATAGCAGTACAAGTCCCAGCTGAGATCCCCACCTTAAGCCAGAAGTCCATGGACTTGCAGATGCTGACTTTTTCTTCTGGAAGCAGGATGCCTCCAGCGCATAGCTTTGGCTTCCGCCATACATAGGTGGTTCGCTATAGTGAGGAAAGCATAGTCTGTCACAGTTTCAGTCTGATAAACAGTAACACAGTCAAGATCAACAGTGACAGCTGCACCACTTTTGCACGCTACAGGGATCTCACAGGGCACAAGCATGTTTAGGAACAAATATCAGAGTTTTATTACTGAAATGGTTGCTGAAATAGAATATCACAAGCCTTCCCTACCTGGCAGCATCCAGGTGTGCCAGAACATTTTCCCCATTGTCCTAAGGCATGTTTCAGTCCAGCACTAGCTACCCCAGGTGGTTTATAATTTGAACTCCTATGCATTTCTGTGAAATTTACTTGCCCTCTAAGTAAACATAGTTTGGATTTCCAACAGATTTTTTTTCCTTTCCTTTTTCAATTTGGGATCTCTACTTGTTTTTACATGCATGTTTACTGAATGATTAGCAGAGCACAATAATCAATTAATTGCATATTTAAACATTGTATAGTGAGGAAAGCTGATGTGTCATAGCTTCAGTCTGATAAGCAGTTATTATTTATGAAACAAAAGTAAAAGTATTAATAACTATTTGGTGCCAAACATCGTTTAGAACACCTGGACCTAAACAACGCAGAAAATTTCATGGTATTAGCAGAAAGTTCCTATCTTGGGGCGGGGGGGGAGATTAATTCAAATGTAGTAAAGGAAAAATTTTCCGTATCCTGTCATGTCTGACTCTAGGGCAGTGATGGCTACCCTTTTTGCCATCGCGTGCCAAAAGCGGGGGGAGTGCGGGGGGGGTTGTCTGCACGTGTGCCCACACCCATAATTCAATGCCGCCCATGCACATGCATGTGATCCCACACACACACGCAGCTCCCCCCGCTTTTGGCATGTGATGGCCCGATGGGCCCGGTAAACCCATTTTTCGCTCTTCCCAGGCTCCAGAGCCTTTCTAGGAGCCTGGGGAGGGCGAAAATGGCCTTTCTGAACCCCCCCACCAGAGGCCCTCCAGAGGCCAGAAATGGCCTGTTTGCCAACTTCCAATGGGCCTGGAAGGCCCGAAAATCAGCTGGCAGAGCTGAGCTCGTGTGCCCACTGATACGGATCCACGTGCCACCTGTGGCGTGCGTGCCATAGGTTCGCCATCACGGCTCTAGGGCATGGTGCTCATGTCTGATAACATTTATTTATACAATTTATTGGCCGCCCATCTTGCCTCAGGGTAACACTTTGGTAACTCTATTACTAAATCAGATAGAGATATATCTTCCAGTGTTATATTTTTATGTTTTTTAGCTATCCCTCATGTGGAAAGGATCTACAATTCGTGATGTCTTCATAAATTTGGAATATTAGGAGTTTAATAATTAATAATTAATATGTAGCTTTTGCTCTAAAGTCATACTGACAACCCTATGAGTTTCATCCCCAAATGTAGCAATAGTAGCACAAGTGCAGAAACCTGAATATTCCTTTAACTTTTTAATTCTATAGGTTAGCCATCTTCCCGGCTTGTTAGCATTTTCAAAATTTTCAAAAACAGGAAATTAAAAGATACACAGACAAGAAAGAAAAGGTTTGAGAATTTTTTTAAAAAAAATCAAAAAAGAAAAAAGAGATGCAAAAAGAAAAGAAAAAAGTAAATAAAATAGAAAAAAAGATTTTTGACTTTCTTGGGTGCTGATATTGAGACATTATTTATCTATCTATCCATCTATCTATCCATATACATATATATCGAGATTATTAGCCAGGTTCTTCCTACGTAAACCAAGATTTTTATGCAGCCCTAGTTCAGTGAAATCACAATCCCCTAGTTTCTAGGCTTTTTTTTCTGGCAGCCAGCAAACACTCTGCTGCCCATTGGGAGACTAAGGAGACTAAGATAGATCTATTTCGGATATATATACAGTTATATATACACACACACACACACACACACACACACACACACTCTTAGGTTAATATTTGTCTACATTATTTCTATAACCCCTTGTAGTTTTAATCTACCTGTATCCCTCCAACGCAGGCACTGATAATGGCATGGTAATCTTCTGCAGAACAGAGAGGACAGGCTTCAACCGACTCCCACAGGAAATGGAAAGTGCATCCATCACAGGTTCCATCAGGACACTTGCTATTTTGAAATTTTAAGAAACATCTTAAACAGAACCAAATAAAGACATACTTGTGCAGGGAGATCAACAGATCAAGCCCTAGCTGTTGAAGGTTTCAGCAACGACAATTTTCCAGCAGGTATCCCTTAAACTAGCACCCTTCAACCTAATGCTGCCCAGAAATGTTGGGAATTCTGGAAGTTGCAGCTCCTTTCAGTCAGATTAAGGAAGTTTCTCTTAACCAATGATCAACATCATACCTCATGTACAGGTTATGTAAGAGTTGCTGAATTATAAAGCAGCTTAATCTGACCATTCTGATATATTTTATTGTCAAGGCATTTGTAAAAGCTCTTTTAAAAAATATAGCTACTGTGAAATATATAGCATACCTTCTAGAGATAGTGTTGGAAATAGTTTGAGATGTGAATAATGTGAATAAACAAACTTGATCCAAGAATGTATACTGCCAAACTAGATAGGCAACTTCAACTTCAGAAACAGGAAACACTTCTGTCTGAGATCCTGGAGAGCTGCTAGCACTCAATGTTGACAGTATGAATTTACACTAATGAACCAATGGTCTGATTCTTTCACAAGGCTATACAGGTACTCCTCAATTTACAACAGTTCACTTAGTGACCCTTTGAAGTTACAATGGCACTTTAAAAAGTGATTTATGACCAGGGGTGGGTTCTAATTTTTTTTACTACCGGTTCTGTGGGCGTGGCTTATTTTGTGGGTGTGGCTTGGATGTCATGTGACTAGGAGGACGTGGCTAGCTGGTCAGAGTCATTTCTGGAAGGTCCTCGCACTTACGACCAGTCCTCGCACTTACGACCCGACTCATTTGTTTGCTTTTAACACGGATCAGCTGTAAGATGGCCCTTTGAAGCCCCGCGGCAAGAGTTTAAACAGTTTTTTTCCCTCTAGTCATCAGCTGAGAGTCAGGAGGCAGCAATAGATTGGGGGTGGGACCAAATAAAAGGTAAGAATAACGTGGGGGGGTGGGGGGGTGGGAGGGCGGGGGGAAGAGAACCGGTTCAGTGACATCATATCGTCACCGCTACCGGCTTGGCCGAACCGGACCGAACCGGGAAGAACCCACCACTGCTTATGACAATTTTTCACACTTATCACTATTGCACATCCCCATGGTCACGTGATTTATATTCGGATGCTTGACAACTGACTCACATTTATGATGGTTGCAGCATCCCTGTGTCATATGATCACCTTTTGCCACCTTCTGACAAGCAAAGGCAATGGGGAAACCAGATTCACTTAACAACTGTGTTAGTAATTTAACAGCTGCAGTGATTCATTTAACAAATGTGGCAAGAAAAGTCATAAAATGGGACAAAACTCATTTAACAAATTTCCACTTAGCAACATAAATTTTGGGTTCAATTGTGGTTGTAAGTTGAGAACTACCTGTAGTCTGCTGATAACTCAGCAGACTACAGGTAGAATAATACTTTTTGAGGCTCATTCAGTAGAATAATACTTTTTGAGGCTCATTCAGTAGAATAATACTTTTTGAGGCTCATTCAGTAGAATAATACTTTTTGAGGCTCATTCTCAAGGAATAAATTCAGAAGCTAGCTGAGCACTGTAATATTAAAAAATCCCACACTGCCAAGCAATCTTTTAGGAACAGGGAGGTTCCTTAAATTTTACAAAAGCATGTGCACTTGGCACTTCAGACAGTATTTTATCTGCCTGAAGCAGAGGAAGGAGAGAAAAAAAATAACAACTCAATATCTTGACATTACCTTGGTAAAGAGAGAGCTCCAAACTCAAATTTTAGGGGGTCACATCTCAGCCTAATGGTAGTTACTCTTCCATCATGGCATGTCTGGGTCACATCGTTGGATCTGCAGTTCAGAAATGTCATTATGTTAAGAAAAACTAAACCAGGGTTTGCCAAAATGGTCAATATTGACCTCTGCCCAGTGGTGAAATCCAAATTTTTTTTACTACCGGTTCTATGGGCGTGGCTTGGTCGGCGTGGTGTGGCTTGGTGAGCATGGTAGAGGAAGGATACTGCAAAATCTCCATTCCCACCCCACTCCATGGGAAGGATACTGCAAAATCCCCATTCCCACCCCACTCCAGGGGAAGGATACTGCAAAATCTCCATTCCCACCCCACTCCAGGGGAAGGATACTGCAAAATCCCCATTCCCTCCCCAGTCCAGGGGAAGGATACTGTAAAATCTCCATTCCCTCCCCACTCTGGGGCCAGCCAGAGGTAGTATTTGCTGGTTCTCCAAACTACTCAAACTTTCCACTACTGGTTCTCTGAACTGCTCAAAATTTCCACTACCGGTTCTCCAGAAACTGTCAGAACCTGATGGATTTCACCCCTGCCTCTGCCCCAATATCCAAGGGGTCAATGATCAGCTTTTCCTCCTCCTTGACCCCCTCCCTCTCCTCCTCTGACCCAAACAGAATGAGCATGGCTTATACAACTGTACAAACTTTAGGTCCATGTGCATAGTTTGGGGCAGTCAGTGCCCTCTCATTGTTAATAAAAATGCAAAGAATACATATAAAATAACATTGCCAGTTCATGAATCACAAATCAGCTACCGGCCTTGGCGACCTCACTTTGTCAAATGCAGATAATTCAACAGTAGAGCAACAACAGCATTTTCTGCTATATTATTTCTAACTATGTTCTGGTTTGGAAAGTAAGATTTCACAAGCTATAAATTTTCCAAACTTTTCCAAAATCCTGAAATATTGCCAGGAAATTTTTGTCAGATATATACCATTTTTTCACAAAACAAGTTGGGGTTAAAACTTTACCATACCCTTGTTTGGTAGTTCTTTAGCTTACCTATAAAAGAATATGACATCAGGTAAGTCCCCATTTTTAGCAGGAAAATAATCAGCATGAGAAGTTATGTTGTCCAGAGTAGATTTTGTTGTTACTCCTAGAGATTAAATCCCAATCAATAAGAATACCACCACATAGGAAAGATAGATTTTAGGGATAAATCTAATTTGTTCCCCAAAATATATTAAGTTAAAGATTTTCTGCATCAGAAGGTAAATCCCATGTTGTATTAATTACTGTGTTTGATAAATACATTTGTTTTGTCCATAGTTGTTTTCAGGAATTGAAACTGGAACTAGAGCATCTAGCAAGCCTTGATTTATTTTGCACAGTATATCACATAGCTAATAGTATGCCACTGGTTTTTGGCTATTTATTTGCCAATTCCAAGATTTGTAGTGCATTTCACCTTTACACTAGTCTAAAAAAAGAAGAAGTGTTGGTGTGTGTGTGTGTGTAAAGCATGATGAGTGGTATGAACTATAACCTTGTTTTTCTAACAATGAGAAGAACTAAAGTGAAAAAGGGCCAAGAGGTACAGGCACAGGGAACAAGTGTGGAAATGGCTCTACTATGAGTGTGTATGTGTGGTCAAAATATTATGGGTCCCATCCAGGGGTGGGTTCTAATTTTTTTTACTACCGGTTCTGTGGGCGTGGCTTATTTTGTGGGCGTGGCTTGATGGTCATGTGACAATTCTTTAGGATTTAGCAGAGGTACTGGTCTACCAGGCCTTTAACTGCTTGCAGAGCTGTACCGGTCTACTCATTTATTTTTGCAGGCACCGGTCTACTCATTTATTTTTGGAGGCACCGGTCTACCACCACACTGCCTTTTAACACTGATCAGCTGTAGGGCGGCCCTTTGAAGCCCCGTGGCAAGAGTTTAAACAGGTTTTTTTCCTTTTAGCCGATGGGCTGGGACTCAGGAGGCAGCAATAGATTGGGGGTGGGACCAAATAAAAGGTAAGAATAATGCGGGGCGGGGGGGGCAGAACTGGTTCGGTGACGTCATATCGTCACCGCTATCGGCTCGGCAGAACCGGGCAGAACCGGGAGGAACGCACCACTGGTCCCATCCCCCCCGTCCCCCATCTCTGAATTGGGAGGAGGTTTCCTTTGTTATTAAAAAAAAACCCATTAAACCATTAATAGTCAGAGACTGTGACACAATTTTAACTTATGGTATTTGGAGAGAAGTCTGGGCAGTGGTAAAAAGGGAATTGGTGAGCCTCAAGAAACTGTGGAGGAAGATTTCTGCGAATTGCGGAGAGGTGATGGAAAACAGAACAGAGAATGGACACCTGGTGCTTTTTTTAAAGAGAAAAAGGATCCCCCTGCCTAATATTTTCTATAGAATGGTTTTGTTCTTCTGTGTCAGTGATTAAAAAGTGATTTTTCCAATACTGGGTCCAGATTTGGCTCAGTATTATTAAAGATCACCTGTATGGCACTTCCACCTGGCAACTGCTTTTGACTTCTGTTCAGTAAAGAAGCTAATTTTTTTTCAATGGCTCTCACCCACAAAGGTATCTGCCAGGCTCACAGGCTGAGAAGAGACCATGGTTTTGTAACCCATCACTTCGGAAGGAATCATGACGGACTGGCATACATAGGATGAAGTTGACTTGGAGAACTCAGTGTCTTTGTCCAAAAGATGAATATCTGTGACATTATCTATGCAGAGAGCAGACTTCTTTCCCTTCAAGAAAAAACAAAATGGGAGACTTGATAGCAACCCTGTCTCTCATTGCTATTAAAAAATGAGATGCTCTTTTTGAAATATTGTACAGGTAGCCCTCAAGATACCACCATTTGTTTAGTGACCGTTTGTAATTACAACAGCACTGAAAAAAGTGGCTTATGACTTTTATGATTTTCAACCATTGCAGCATTCCCATAGTCATGTGATAAAAATTCAAATGTGTGGCAAGTGGCATGTATTTATGACAGCTACAATGTCCTCGGGTCATGTGATCAACTTTTGCAATCTTCTGATGAGTCATCGGGGAAACAAGATTCACTTAACAACCACAATACTCTTAACAATTGCAGTGATTCATTTCACAACTGTGGGAAGAAAGGTTGTAAAATGGGGCAAACCTCACTTAACTGTCTTGCTTAATGATGGAAATTTTGGGCTCAATTGTGGTTGCAAGTTGAGGACTACCTGTAATCATAAAAAATATATGGGCATTGTGCTGAAGAATTGGGGTTCAAAAGATGTACAGGGACAAACATATTTCTCTGTCCAAGAATGTGTGACTCTCCCTGCATTAAATAGAGCTGTCCAAAGGAGTGTCAGGTTTGCATTTGCTTAAATGCAATAAAAATTGATAGTTTTCAAAAAAAGACCTGTCTTCCAACTTGGGCGCTATCTAACATTGGGCATTGGGCGCTATCTAACAAAATGAAACTTAGGCAAGAAAAACAAAATGCACAGGTACAGTATATGTGGTACCTTGCTCAATAGTAGTAACTGTGAGAGGGATCTTGGAGTCCTAATGGACAACCATTTAAATATGAGCCAGCAGTTTCAAAAAAATCAACACAGTTCTAGGCTGCATAAACAGAGGGATAGAATCAAGATCATATGAAATGTTAATACCACTTTATAATTCCATACTTGGAATACTGCATTCAGTTTTGGTTGCCATGGTGTAAAAAAGATGTTGAGACTCTAGAAAGAGTGCAGAGAAGAGCAACAAAGATGATTAGGGGACTGGAGGCTAAAACATATGAAGAACAGTTGTAGGAACTGGGTATGTCTAGTTTAATGAAAAGAAGGACTAGGGGAGACATGATAGCAGTATTCCAATATCTCAGGGGCTGCCACAAAGAAGAGGGAATCAAGCTATTTTTCAAAGCACCTGAGGGTAGGACAAGAAGCAATGGGTGAAATCATATCAAGGAGAGAAGCAACTTAGAACTAAAGAGAAATTTTCTGACAGTTAGAACAATTAATCAGTGGAACAACTTGCCTCCAGAAGTTGTGAATGCTCCAACACTGGAAGTTTTTAAGAAGATGTTGGATAACCATTTGTCTGAAGTGGTGTAGGGTTTCCTGCCTAAGCAGGGTGTTGGACTAGAGGACTTCCAAGATCCCTTCCAACTCTGTTATTCTATGCTATGCTATGCTATGCTATGCTATGCTATGCTATGCTATGCTATGCTATGCTATGCTATGCTATGCTATGCTAACTTTTCAAAGTTTTGTTTTCTCTGCAAAAAATGCTTTTTTGTCATTAGCGGTTTAGAATTTATTTTCAATTTATTATTATGAAACAGTCAAAAATGCTGGTATAATTTTTTCTGCTAATATCATCTTTCTGACCTTCTCTGTGGCCAAACATTTTGTCTATGCTTTCTTATCTGACACCCTCACCCTCCACTCTTCCTTTAGGAGGCATTCCACTGTAGATTAAACTGAAGTATGGAAGGTCAATGAGGATGCAGATATGATCATATAATAAAATACAAGACTCTTGCACCCCGTTTCACCTCAACCTTGGCACCTTTAAGATGTCTGGACTTCAACTCCCAGAATTCACCAGCTGGCACTGTTAACTGGGTAACTCTGGGAATTGAGAAGTTGCCAAGGTTGAGAAACACCACTCTAAATGGACAAACTACACCATCTTCGATGCTTCCACTGATGCTTGCCTCATGAAAATACACATATACTTACATAATTTCCGCATAGACTAATGTTGAAGTGATGAAAGTACTTCAGGCCTTTTGAAGTAAAGCTTGGCTCTCCTAAAAAGGAGGTGCTGTAAGCCAGTCTGGAGAAGTCATACTCTAGAGTCCTATCCTTCATGCTGATTGAGAAGTGACAGTCATTGTAACACAGAGAATGCATCTAAAGAGAGAAAGAAAACACACCCCAGCAGAAGAATTTAGAAACTGTTGACTTTGTCAGCAACAGTAGAAGGACACTCAAGTGTTACTGAGATGTCTAATACCAGCTCCTGAATCCCTCAGGGTTCTGCTCAGACAAGCCTTGCTTGCCCAAACAACCTGGATGATTATAGAAAACAGAACATTGGAGAGGAAGAACTTAGCAGCTCTTGTGCTATTTCAGTTTTGGCAGGAAGTAACTACTGTTTCTAAAAGAATATAATTTTATTTGTATTTAAGAGAAATCTACACTGATTCAATAAAACAAAAATCCATACAAATTATTTGATGATTTGAGGAACATGAAATTAAATCTAATAAAATATCCTAATTTAGCATATTTTATTATTGCTATCCCTACAGCTAGTCATTGCTTATCTAGGCCCACAAAAGCTATATGAGTTTTTTTTTTTAAAGATCACAACGATTTAATAACAAGATCAACATTTCAGATTCAGAATATTCTGTAAATTTATGACCAACTGAGAGATTGTACCATGCTCAGCACTGTATGCTGGAAGAAAGGAAAGATTACATTTTCAAAGAACATTTTGCTCTTTGTGTATGCACAGTGTATAACTGAAAATGTAGCTCCAAAAGAAATCCTGAAGCTCCTACTACTGTTGAGCAAACAGAATAGTTAGTTTTGCTGAAGGCCAAGTTTTGTTTGCTATTTTATGCACTGAACTTTGGACTTGGCATTCCAGCACCCACAGGGCCTTCTCTCTCACAAATACCATCTTATGTCATGAGGATACAAAAAAGAAATGGCAAAAATCTTGCTTGAGCCTCTAAATTTCACAAGACCTGGAGTGAGAAAGCTAAAATCTCCAATGAGTTTGGACTTTTCAAGTTAATTTTTATTAGATATTGAGCTTCTGTGCACTCTTGCAAAATCATGCAATGAAACGTCTCTCTCTCTCTCTCTCTCTCTCTCTCTCTCTCTCTCTCTATCTATCTATCTATCTAATATATATAGCCATCCTTCCCACCAAAATGAATTTGGCCGATGCACAAAGGTTGCTATCCTTGGCTTGGCTCTTTGGGTGATTAATGTCGGCTGCCAAGCAACACATACAGGTAGTTTGCCACTTACAACAGTTCATTTAGTGACCATTTGAACTTACAGAGGCACTTAAAGTGACTTGTGACCATTTTTCATACTACCATTGCAGCATCCCCATGGTCATGTAATCAAAATTCAAGTCATGTGATCACCTTTTGTGACCTTCTGACAAGTAAAGTCACTTACCAACTGTGTTACTAACATAACTACAGTGATTCACTTAACAGATGTGGCAAAAAAAGTCATAAAATTGGGCAAAACTCACTGAAGAAATGTCTTATTTACCAACAGACATTTTGAGCTCAATTGTGGTCATAAGTCGAGGACTACATGGACAATATTTCATAAAAATTTATATTTTATGTAATAAGATAATAGATAGCTAATTTGGCCATCTGGAAAATTGTCAGAAGCACAGGATAGTATTTTTTCTATGTTATGTAAGCTGCCTGTTGCAAGCTCCTTCATTATAACTGAAAAGAGCCATCATTTCCTGATTCAGTGGATGGCGATTAGAAAGAAAGTAAAGAAGTTTCCACTTGAATGTGGTTTGGGACATATTGATTGGAGACAGAATGCAGTTGCTGACATTCTTAAAACTCAGCTCTTCTCAGTGAATTCTGCTAAAGAGACTTTCTGAGAGTTGTGTTAGGAGAAGGATCATGCTTGGTTTTGAGCAGACATCAAGAATCTGACAAATTGCTACTTTCTGGCAATGTATCTGAATCTAATATTTTATTGGAATTTATTGCCCTGATATTGCTTTCATTACTTTAAGTGACAATCCTTTGTCAACTCCAATATTTACACTCCTCATGTTGCACTTTTGTTCAAATAATGATGTAGCTCCAGTTGTCACTGTACAGAAATTACGAACAGTAAAGAGGACAATATACTACCTTGTTATTTTTTGTGCCAGGGCCACAAGGGATACAAGCTTGATTGCCATAAGGTTGGTGAGCTTTCAGGTAAGTGTTTGATGGACATGGAGAACAACTACCAGATGTTTTGTCAATGTAGTGCCCATGAGGGCAGGAAGTACAGGATGAGCCAGAGGTTTCCAAAGCGCACTGCCGGCAATAAGAAGCTACACCATCTATAACATTGGTCACATTGATGGAGTACAATCTGGCAACATCATTTGTGTATTTTCTTCCCTGAAAGAAAACATAGTGTGTCATGAATGCCTTTGTGTAGGAAAAGTATTCAGTTATAGAGAAGGCAGGACAATTGCAGGAAATGGTGGGCATAGTCCTAACTTTAATGGCCTCTATTTTTAAGAATAAACCTAATTCTTGATGAGAATTCCCTAAAAGGATATTTGAAGAATTAGTAAAAAACAGATTTCTCAGTCTTTACCGCTTCGTTGTATGCTGTCCTCTGGAAGGCCCATGTGAAACTCGTGGTAGCATTCTTCTCAACAACGTACGTATAGGATTGTTTTCCCTTGGAGCCAAACCAGGTTTCTACAGGGGAATTGGTTCTAGAATTCATACCCTACCAAAGATGAAATGGTATAAGTCTATGAATAAACAATACACCTAAATAATTCTTGGTTTTAGATGTTGGATAAAAACTTACCACCATAAAATAAAGTTCACAATTCACACTGCAGATGGTTTCAAAGACAAAAGTGATTTCTGCTACCTTCTTATTTTCAGAGTCTTCCATAACTGATTGTGGTGGACTGCAAAAGAATAAGCAGGACTCATAAATTGTAGAAATAGCTATAGATGAAACATCTCAATTATCGCTGTTTACTTCAGTAACTAGGTAAACAGAATATCTACATTCCACTTCAAATATATTCAGAACAAGATATTCCAATGGAATCACACTTCAATCATATAGATGATTCAGTGTACAGCATGTCAGTACACTCTATGCACATTTATTTGGTTGTGACAAAACAATAAAATCTCTGCCCAGTTTTAAAGATCACATTTTAAAATTATGTTAAAAATGTTAAAAATCAGCTCAATCTTTCCTTCACTGTTTCCTTCTGCCATTTATTATTAATCATCGTGAAGTAATGCAAGCAGAACATTGACTGGGAGAAATTAAATTTGTTTATGCAGCTTTCTTAATAACAGTACAACAGGGATTTGCCACTGCATTCTTTTGGACCCTTTCTATTGATTTTTCAGTGTACCATACGGTGACCAGATTCAGCCCTGCTTAGTTTTCAAGAGCAGGCAAGGTTAGCCAGAAGCTACTGTTGACTGAAGAAATTATCTAGAAATTAAACACACAGCTTAGATTAATTCTTTATTTGTATTTTCCACTTACTTATTGTATCTGCTCACATTGCTTTACCTAATGCATTTCCAATACTTAGCTTAATTTGGACTAGTGACCTCACCTGAAGCCAGGAATCACCAATGTTAAAATCATGAAATCATTGTCAGAAGCTCCTGCAGCTGTATAGATGTAGTCACCTGCCACTTCCCACCCTGAAAATAAAAATCAAGAGTTAACCACTTAACCACAATTTGAAGAAAAGTTATTCTTTCCATTATGTAATATCATATTTAATGTGAAATTTTGTACATTCTTTTCACAGAAACACAAGGAATCTATTGCTTTGAACTTATTTCCATCCACTCCCTAACATTTTCAAAGTAGTTTTTCTAGAAGAACTTGGATCACAATTTGAGAAGTTTTCCAGGGATCAGGGCTACTACCGTACTAGCTGGGGAATTCTGGAGGTTGGAATCTCAACAAATCTGGAAAGAAGAACTCAAGATAATAGAAAGTTATGATAACATATAGCCATGCAGTAGAGGTCAGTTGAGAATATTAAAGAAATTTCCAGGAGAGGAATGGAGAACCGAAGACGTCTCCATGAAAGTGGAGCTAACAACTGCAGTGAAAAACAAAGAGCCCATGAATAGACCCGCTCTTTGGAACCTCTCCAAACAAGAAGAAGACAGGAGGTTGCCCACATATGATCCAGATGGCTGCTGTTTGCAAGGATACTTAAGAACAGCTATCACCAATTGCACATTAACTACTTTTAAATGATTAGAAACCTTCTGGAACAACAATTTTGAAAACACTGGGTGAGTCTGCCTTCAATTCTGAACAGAAGAAAAATTTAATCATAAGCTTTAGAATTCAAAGTATGTGAAATAAACAGCAAAAACTAAATAAAGTTTTGAGCTTAGAAAGCTATAAATGGATTAAGAATCCAGATAAAATTGGAATATTGTAATTTACAATAAAATTTTGGAATTAATTATAAAGAACACACAGCTTCTCATGAGAAATAGATTCTGTTTTGGTTTTCACAAGACATAACAAAGTTAAGCAATTTCATAATTTCAAAAAGTGGACACTAGAGGGACTAAAGTTTTTAAGTAAAGATTTACTAGCTTGTAAAATGATGCAAAACATAACAATGAAAATACAGGAGACTTTTGAATAATGGAATCAGAAGAGAGTAGCCACAATATCAACAATGTTGATAATGATGTCTTCTTCTATGGACAGACTATGTCCAAAAATTGTTATCTACAGATGTAGAACAAATTTATCTGACAAGATAGAGATGGTATCAAAAGTGAATTTACAACTGACAGACCAAGATAATGACTTAGAAAAGGAAGTTTTCAAACTGGAAGAGGTTTTCTAAATAAGAGATGGGATCTAAGATGAAGAGACAATGGTTTGTAACCTGAAAGTTGATGAAGAGTCACTAAATCCATTTATACTTGTAGTGATGAAGATTGAAAGTCATTTATATATTTCTTTTTCCTTATTGTATTCTACCTTTTTTCTTTCTTTTTCCTTTTTCCTTGAAATAAAACTAAAAACAGAAAAATCAGGATTTGATTTTGTTGATTTGTGAGGGAGTCATTCAACTCCTGTAATATTTGATTTTCATCATGGAATCACATGGTTAGAAGGGACTTCAAACAATTTCTTCTTTAAACCTAGGGCAAGGCAGGAATCCTCAGAGCATTGCAAACTCTGCATAATACAATGTGGTTTGAAATAAAAACTCTCTTAATAAGAATCTCTTCTTATTGGGACAAGTTCTTTATAACCTTGAAACAACTCTAGAACATATATGGCTTCTAATTATGGCTGCTTTTCTGGTACTTAGAACTCAATGCAAATAGAATTCTAGAAAGTCATATTTCTGAGTTTCTTTACTACATGTAGTCCTTGAGTTATGACCAATTTGTTAAGTGATTATTCAAAGTTACAAAGGCACTGTATGAAGGTACTTATGACCAGTTCTTGAAGTTCCAGGTGCGGCAGCACCTCCATAGTCACATGAACAAAATTTGGGTGTTTGGCAACAAGGTTGTTTGCCAGACCTTTTCTGTCAGCTTCCTGCAAGCCAGGTCAATGGGAACATTGGTATGGAAGGTCATAAGTGACTCAAGAAAGAATATGAAGTTGATTTCTTTGATCAAGGTTAAAATAGAAATGTAGTTATCTTTGATAATCCTTAATGGACTTTGATGACATCGGGACTTAAATGATGAGGCTGTATGGATTTGTTTATAGGCTAGGAGAAGAATAGATCATTTGTTGCATTTTAAGAGAAGGCGATAAGTTACTAAAATTGTCTACAGTTGTGATGAAGTGAAAGTCATTTGTTATTTCTTTTCTTTTTCTTTACTATATTCTTATTGTTTCTTTTCTATTTCTCTATTTTTTTTTCCTTTCTGGTTCCCTTTTTAGTTTGTATTAGTTTTTGTTGTTGTAATTGTAATCTTTAATAAAATTACTATAAAAAAATAAACTATCCATTCCCATAAGAGTAAAATAACAAGTCTAGGGTTGGTTCATAAACCGTCTGATGGTGCAACCTAATAAAGACACATAGCACAACTAGGGACCCTTGCATTATCCAAATGCATTAGGTAAAAATACACATTTTGGGAGGATACCTGCCATTCTCTTATATTCGAAACTGATTCCACTGAGGACTGTAGTCTCCATATTAGCTGGCAGTGTGTTCCACCATTTGTATTCAAAGCCTAGCGCAGGCTCGGTGCCAACTGGACAATTGGTACAACCTGAGAACCAAATTAAAAAAAAACAAAAACACCAAACACATACAGAGTCAGGAAAAGAATCACTACTGCTAATGAAAGTCTTTAACTGGTGCTGAGGTTAATGGCACTTTCTAAAACAATGGTAAAATATAGTACAGCTATGATAGTAGCAGCCTTTAAAAGAGTCCTTTTAAGAACACCCACTAAATCGATATTTGTCAAACTTGGCAACTTTAAGACATGCAGACTTTTAACTCCCAGATTTTGAGAAATGCCGGCTATGGAATTCTGGTAGCTGAAGGCCACATGTCCTAAAGTTGCCAAGTTTGAGAATCACTGCATTAAACGTTTTACTCTGGCTTAGTTTTCTTTTGTAATGTCTTGAAATTTTTCATAAAAGCAGGCAGCATTTTTTCAGACATATAACTTGTAGAGCAGTCACAATGACCTTTTAATGGTTTGGTTTTTTCATTTGTTTTAATGGAGTGAATTGTTATACAGGGAGTAATTCTTCATGTTCCAAATTAGCCAGGTATATCAAGGTCAAGAATAAATCAGTATTCTTGACATTCTTAGCTTTGTTCCTTTGGCTTTTTCTTCTTTTCCTGCTTTGTGGATGGTTCATCAAAGAAAAATCTGTATTTTAGTGTACTGGAAGGCACACAATTTGGAGCATTGCACTGGGGAAGGTTAATCTAAGTAAACCAAGGAATTACCTCTCCACCAGTATTATTTATAGTCCCATAGCCCTGTTGCCTTTAGAAAGAACAATGAATAAGGGGAAAAAGAGAAGAAAAACTCTCATAATAAAAGACTGAATTTTCTTTTATGCCACTACTGAATCCAGGAAGTGCCAAGTTCATGCTTTTTAGAGGCGGTTCCCAGTGATCAGAGCACGGTACCAGTTTAAACCATTTAGAGAACCTCATTTATGTAAGTTTTACCTAATTCAGAAGGGAAAAAAACAGAATAGCATTACCAGACCCATTTGAATATTTTCCATATGGGCAAGGCTCACAGGTGCTGGCATTTGTCTTAAAAAAACCAGGATTACAAGGGGGGCACATCATCTTTACACCCGATGGAGGTAACTTCACTGCCTTGGGGAGGTCCTCATTGCAGATTTTAGGCTCAGCCCATTTATACATTAGCTGTGTCTGTGAAGATAAAAGTATCACTCATTTATTCATTCAGTCAATCAATCAATCAGTCATTCATTCATTCATAGATAAAACATTTTACAGCATCTTTATATGCCAAAGGATTTATAATTGTCACTTCTCATACAGTAGTATAAACAATTTCATGGTATCCAGATATTTTTGTTCACAATTCCAGGACTCCCTTGTTGCTGGTCATATTAACTGTGGTTAATGTGAGTTGAGATCCAAATTATCCAAAAAGCAAGGTATCATACATCTACAGTATGCAATCCATACAGCCTACAGTACTCTAGAAGTTGTTGAACTATAACTTCCAGTGTTACTAAGATGAGAACAATTTTCACAGGTATACTATGGTATACTCTATTTCCCCAAATATACACAAAAATACAAATACCGTATTTTCCGGCGTATAAGACCACTTTTTAACACATGAAAATCTTCTCAAAAGTCGGGGGTCGTCTTATACGCTGGGTGTCGGGAAAGGCCCTGACGAGCCTTAAATGGCTCTGATGATCCAAGCTCTGACGATCTGCTAATCAGGCAACTCAGTTAGGATCGCCAGAGCCATGGAGAAGGAAAAAACTTTTCTCCTTTCACATGGCTCTGACGATCCAAGCCCTGATGATCTACTAATCAGGCAACTCAGTTGGGCTTGCCAGAGCCATGGAGAAGGAAAAAACTTTTCTCCTTTCACATGGCTCTGACGATCCAAGCCCTGACGATCTGCTAATCAGGCAACTCAGTTGGGATCGCCAGAGCCATGGAGAAGGAAAAAACTTTTCTCCTTTCACATGGCTCTGACGATCCAAGCCCTGATGATCTGCTAATCAGGCAACTCAGTTGGGATTGCCAGAGCCATGGAGAAGGAAAAAACTTTTTTCCTTCTCCATGGCTCTGACGATCCAAGCCCTGACGATCTGCTAATCAGGCAACTCAGTTGGGATCGCCAGAGCCATGGAGAAGGAAAAAACTTTTCTCCTTTCACATGGCTCTGACGATCCAAGCCCTGACGATCTGCTAATCAGGCAACTCAGCTGGGATCGCCAAAGCCATGGAGAAGGAAAAAAGTTTTCCCCCTCCAGCTTGCTTACCTTAGCTGCTTGCCTTGCTTGGCTCACCTTGCTTCGTTTGCCTGAATCCATTCCATCAGCAAGCAACTCCCTGCCTGCAATCAAGCAGGCAGGAGTTGTGGACTTCAACTCCCAGAATTCCTCAGCCAGCAAAACAAAGCTGGCTGAGGAATTCTGGGAGTTGAAGTCTACAAGTCTTAAAGTTGCCAAGATTGGAGAACCCTGTTCTATTGGGTAAGTTTTTTCCCCCTTTGGGATCTTAAAAAAAAAATAGTTAATTGGGGGTTTTTTTAGTTGTTCTTTTTTAGACCTAGCCATTTAAAGTTTAGGAAGTTTTAAATTTAGCTTTCATATAAAAATAAAAATAAAATAAAATAATATTTGTCCAGCTTTCTGAGATTTAGTATGTTTTTGTAGTGTTTCACTCTAACTACACAAACACACAAAATCTCACAAAGCTGTATGTGGAATTTTGTGTGTGTAAAGTGTGAAAGTTGTTTTTTTTGGGCTTTTTGTGGCTGTGTGAGGTTCCTGCTTGTTTCAGGGGCCATTTTCGGTCTAGCACAGCTGCTTTTACATTGTGGGTGAGCCAGTTGTGTTGTGTGTGTGTAAAGTGTGAAAGTTGGTTTTTTTGGGCTTTTTGTGGCTGTGTGAGGTTCCTGCTTGTTTCAGGGGCCATTTTGGGTCTAGCACAGCTGCTTTTACATTGTGAGTGAGCCAGTTGTGTTGTGTTGTGTTGTCCGCGTGTAAAGTGTGAAAGTTGTTTTTTTGGGCTTTTTGTGGCTGTGTGAGGTTCCTGCTTGTTGCAGGGGCCATTTTGGGTCTAGCACAGCTGCTTTTACATTGTGGCTGAGCCAGTTGATGTTTGTTAATTTTTATTTGGTATGCATTGGAAGAGGGGTAGTCTTATACGGCGAGTATAGCCCAAACCCTATATTTTAACAGGAAAATTCGGGGGTCGTCTTATATGCCCAGTCGTCTTATATGCCTGAAAATACGGTATGTATGAAGAAGAAAAAAAGGACCATACACTGAACTTAGCTTTAACTGGGACTTTTCTGCAAAAACCTATAAGCAAAACCAAAAAAAGGGGCAGAGCCATGATCAAAATGGCATTTGGTTCTATTTGATTTAATAAATTAAATTTTAAAAAATATATCATTCATTATGATTACTGTTCACACAATTAATAATCCTTTCTTCCTACTACATATATTTAATAATTTCCCCCTTTTCTCAGATAACATAATTCAACCCAGCTGGACAGAGAGAAGAGATTTTGTTTGCTACCTCCAAGAATTTTAGGTGGCCCACACAGCCCTTTGAAGACCCAGATTCAATATTCATGGAACTGGTAACAAATATTTTGACTCTCCTTAAAGTTAAATAAACACTGGCTATGTGGGATGTGTGAACCAATCCTTATCTATTTTAGGTCTTGGTAATCATTCTGATTATTGTATCCACAAGGAAGTGCTTGCTATTCCCTATCTTATTTATACGCATATGACACTTTGCAACAAAAACATTTTGAATAATGCTGATCATCAAGGCTGTGCTTCAAAAGCCCCCCAAACAGCATCCCACTACTGTATGGAATTCTAGAGGTTGCATACCTCCCCATTTGTATCACAGGTCGTGTGGGTATAAAAATAGTCCTTATCTGTACAGGCTGGGCGAGTCTTGCAGGAAGAAGAACCTGGTTCTTTATTGCAAAAGAAACAGCAGTTAAATCCATGCAGACATGAGAGATTCAGGAACATTTTCAGCAATAAGCTATAAAAATTATAAAACTATATATATATATTGTGTGTGTGTGTGTATGTGTGTGTAAGAATTAGAATTAGAATTCTTTATTGGCCAAGTGTGATTGGACACACAAGGAATTTGTCTTTGGTGTATATGCTCTCAGTCAGGGTGGATTTGATTTAAATCGAGTTGATTTAAATCACAATTTAAATCATGATTTAAATCACTAGTAAAAAGGCTTGATTTAAATCAACTCGATTTAAATCATAATTTTTAAAGAGCAACTGTCATCTCTGCTACTCCTTTGACCCACTGTTGACTCACCGATAGTCCCAGTGTTGCAGAATATACAGCCTCATGCTACATAACTAAGCTCCATTTCATGCTGAATAAACTAAATTATTTATGTATCTTAAATAGAAAACTATCTTACGATAGATTTTTACCCCAAAAGTTTTTTATTAAAATAAATTCGATAAAAATCAAAAAACTCCAATTTAAATAAAAAAAATCCAATTTAAATAAAAAAAAATCTGATTTTTTTGATTTTTTAAAAAAAATCATTGATTTTTATCCACCCTGCTCTCAGTGTACATAAGGATATATATATAAGGATAACATTGATCATAGTTATTTCAAGTCACTGGTGGATTAATGTGGCATCATCAACAACAAAAATACGTTTGAGAATAAGGCAGATTTTTTCAGTCTTCACATGTTCTTTGATTACAATTATTATACCCAGTCAGCCTAGCTACTGCTCAGGAAAAATTAAAGGGATGAGGCTACAAATCTTGAACTTAGGTTTCAAATTATATGCCTCATGGGTTAAATTATTCCATACAGGTACAAGTTGGCTCACACTGAATCTGCTATCCTTTTCCAAGAATTCACCACATCTAAAAAAGACCCAGCATGCTTCCATATAGAGGTCTCCTAGGGCTACCATGCCATATTTCAGAACCAGTTATAAAAAACAGCAGAATTTTGTATGGAATTATAACCTCATTAAATTATGGGAATGGTGTGGAGTGATCATACAATACAAGCCTTTTTAAAAAGCACTCCCAAATTTAGAGGGTCCACCTTCTATTTTCCTTCTCCTCTTGTCTCTTTTCTCCAACTTTCAAAATTGCCAGTGAAAAGGATAAGTACAAATAAACAAGCTTGTAAAAATTGTGGACTCTTCATAAATTTCTAATTCTGCCATCAAAGTTTCAAAGAGGGCTGAATCAATTCATTGTAAAGGAGACTCTGATTTGAACAAAGTTTCTACTGGTTTTTAATCAACATGGCAGGAAGAATTCAAACAATACAGTACTGTATATTCTAGTGTTTGTGTTAGCAAAAGCACAGAGTAAATATTTCAACATTTGTTGTTTTTCTTCTGAACTTTGAAATTTTGAAAAGTGCCAGAGGAACCTGAAAGGAACTAGTAAATCAGGTATGCTAAATTATCGCCTGCAACCTCTTTGTTCCTTTTCTGTAGTCCCCCAAGACCACATTATCAAAATTCAGCAGCAAGTTTTTCTACAATATTTCAAACACAAGAAGTAATTATAGGTTTGCTAAGGCTATAATTTCTTTTTGCTCTTGTTGTTAAACCCAAGAATACTCCCCCACTCAAATTATTTAAAGAGGCCTCAAATCCTAGGCATAGTCCTTCAAGTAACATCACTGCCATCATCTTTGTGACCCTCGACTGTTAGAAACCTTATTAGAAAAAAAGGCAGTTCCCTGCCTACCTTTGTGGCTGCTGCTGCTGAATAAGACAGTACCAACAGAGTGAAGCTGAAACAAAATCTAGCATGCAGTATTGTAGAATTTAGGGCAAGGATATGGCAAACACAGACAAAAATGGATTAGAAATATAAGAGAGAATGATACCCAATTTTCAGTTTGTACAGAGCATGTGCAGTGAAGTTAAAAAACAAAGAGGGGCCGATGTAAGATGACAATTTATACATCTAAACCTATCATGGCTGGAAATGTGGGATAATTTATCTAAAAAGTACAAAAAATCAACTACACATCAAAGAAATGGCTGAGGCATGGAACGTATTACCTGAGTAATTTGCTGTCTCACACTGCTGGCAGGAAGTAGCTCCTTTGGAAGAAAAAGAATTTGCTGGGCACTGCTGACAGAAGGAAGAACCAGATTTGGCAGTATAGGTGCCTGCTTTACAAGGAAAGCATTCAGAAGTATAAGCCACACCTAGGAAACATGGGAAAAAAGAAGGGAAACATGTTTGCAGCAAGCAAAATAATCCTTTGAACGTCACCAGCAGCAACTTGCACTAGAGATAGGCAATACCTTTCTGACCCATGAGACTAATTTCACAGAGATAACCAACCAATCAATCTCAAACGAGGTCCCTCTCATAAAGTTCCATCTCCTATTTCCAAGTCCCCTCACCAATCTGTCACAATCTGTAGCAAAAACTGTACACCTACAATTGTGATTCTGCCCTGACCACAAAACTCTCTGAGAAGAGAAAATATGGAATATAGACATGGTTGATTGGAGAAGTCTTCAAAGTACTCGTGTCTCTCTGAATCATCTTCTAGAACAGAAGATGGTGAATTTTGCTCTGTTCAAGGGGAGCAGAGAAGCTATCTGAGCCTGTCATAATCCTGGTCCTCACCATTTCATTAGATTCAGTGCATGAACTGACAAAATACATACCTGTAATCCCAATATTTTTCACCAACACAGGCTTGGGGGTTTTGGACCAAACAGAGAAAGCCGTTGTCTTCCAGTACAAGACATTGTTGCCACGACTTAGCTCCACCTATAGATATTAAAAATCTAGTTAAAATGCTCAGATTATATGTATATTGAAATGCAATGCTAGTTCCCAGTAGTTCATACATTTTTCCTTCCTCAAGTTACTGCTAGCTGCAGTTTTAAGTTTAAAAACATTGTATACTTACACTGTGTTTCTCCCAACCTTTCTCTGTAGTTCTCATCCACCTAGAATCCTCCACAGTTGGTTGACATTGGTCATTCTGAACCTACAATAAATGAAGATGCAAATAAGGATGCCATTTCTGTTCACAGGAATAGAGATTTATTGGATTCTTCATAGCACCTATTTAAGGTGACACAATTAAATACAATTTGAACATATGCTCTACTTTTGATGCTAGATGGAAACTTCTTTTTACAAGTTTGTATAACGAATGATATTCTAACTTTTTAGAACTGTGTTACCTTTCAAACAATCCTGAAAATCCTGTGGAATATGTACAATTCCCCAAGATCTTGTGTAAGAACATTAAGAAATAATATAACATTTGACATACTTTAATATTAAATTAATATTGGTTACCATTTTGGCACTTATAGCTCAGTCTCTAAAAATGTATATATTTAAGGCTGCACATTGAAATACAGTATGTTTTTCTTGATTACTAAAAAAAATACAGGCTGCTTAAAGTGTTCAGGCTGATTCTAGCACACTTAGACTATTTTATTTAGATTGTAACATGTGAGCTGGAATCTTTTAATGCCCATTTTAATGATCCATGGGAATCTTTTCTATTACTACTTCTTTCAATATAAAAGAATAGAGCCACTAATATTAATTAAAACAACACTTTTAATTAAAAGTATATTGAAACATGCATTTCAATATACTTTAAATTTGCAAAGTCATCAAAAGTGCATTTTGAAGAACATGCCAGCAACAAGTTCTGGACTAGAAATAAATATTGGAAAAATCTTCTTGGTTATAACATTATTATAGTTATGGAAAGAAGTGCCAAAATAACAAAGTTGTTTCTTCAAGGAGCACAAAAAGCTATCACTTTGTTTTGAAAGCTCACCAGAACATTACCAAAATTCATGAGCAAATGCAATTCAAGAAAGAAAGAATATCTGGAAGGTGTTAACAGATTACTGCAATCAGATTACTGGACATGAATTTTAGTGGTGTCTGATTTAAATAAAATAGAAACAGTTTTATTCAACCTGGGAGGAGATACCAGATCACATGGAATGCAAATTCTGGAAAACAGTGATTAGTTTCTGAAAGGTAGCACTTAATTGAAAATTTCTCTTATATAACATAAAATAATCAAAACCTAGATAGAATCTTTTAATTGAATTGCAAGAAACATACAAAGAATTCAAAGACAATGTTACTGTCTGGATAGATGTAGTCAAAGGAGACGGTCCCAGATTGCTTGAGGTTAACAGCGTACATCAGAGTAGCTATGCACTCATCCGTGTTGGAGGCAATATAATCTCCCTTAGGAATCCATGTTGATCTGGAACAGAAGAAAGAGCCCAGCAGTTGTGAGAGTACTACTGCACATCATCAGCAAACAGGTATTCCCAAGACATTACAAGAGAGTTACATTTTTACTGAAGAAGTTACACAGTCAAATGCCAGATCTTGTATTTCCACAGAAAACAAAATAATATTTATGAATGATTAATTGTAATTTGTTTGTATCTGGTTTAATTTGGTCTTGAAAGCAAGGTTATATAACAAAAAAGCTGCATATCTAGAGTAGTTGAGCCATATTGATATTATACTAATTTCATAATGGACAGCATATAATCTATACGCTCATTTCTACTACTGTATATGCATATATGGATAAAGCCACCTGAAGGCCAAAGCATATTGATTCAAGATTGTGTGTGTACAATGTAATACAATAATGAAAAAGGGATATAGATACCTTTCTTTTTGCTTAACTGATTATATTGGAAAACCTTTGTCCACTCTGAAGTATGGCAGATGCAGATGTCTGCATGCTTAGAAGGCACAAAGTTGAAAATAACTGCTTTAAAGCATTTCCTGGACTAGTTTCTCCCCCCCTCCCCGATAATTTTATTAATTACATTAAACAGATATAACAACCTAATTCAGAAATATATCAAAAAGAATGAAAAAGAAACATTTAAAAAGTGTAGAAAAAATCCCTGCCGCCACCACCCCTCCACTGCCACCAAGGAAGTAGCAAGAAAAAGAAATTTCTACTAGACCAGTTTTTCATCTAAACAGCATAAAGGAAATCACTACTGAGAGATAATTTGGTGTAGTGATTACCAGGTTAGAAACCAAGAGACCTTGAGTTTCAGTCCCACTCTAGGCATAAAGCTAGCTATGTGACCTTGGGCCAGTCATCGTCTTTCTTTGAACTGGCAGGTGCTCACCTTGCTTCAGTTTTCAGTTTCTTCCCCTATTACTTTCAAGTAAAGAAGGCATTAATGTTTGAACAAAATCTAGAAATTCAATCTAAAGTAGAAGACTCAAAGCACTGGTGGTAATGTACAAAGGAGATAATGTTATTCTGAGATCCCACGCTTAGAGATAAATTAGCTGCAATGTTTCATAAACACTCCTACTCAAAATGCTGTCAAGCTTTAGAATTTGCAGCCTTAAGGTCACTCGCTGGCATATAGGTTGACTTTCAAAATAGACATATCCCAGTATTAATAACAACAGGTTCACTCACTTGGTGCAGTTTCCCAAGGACTCCAAGAGGTTGTAATCAATTTCAAAATTGGTTGCCATGCTGGCAAATCCATGAGGCAACTCATCCCATTCATCGAACCTGACACCAGTCCCAAGAGAATATGTGCCCTCTGCACATGGCTTGCAAGACTGATCTTTCATATCCAAGAATTCACCTGCTTTGCAAGAAAATGCTGAAATACAGAAAATCACCAAAACAAAATCAGGGCAAAAGATGAATCCAGACCAACACAGGTAGCTTCAGTAAATCTGTTACAGATGACTTTATAGAATGACACTTTCTAATATCTTTGAGTTGTGTTTAACATATGACAAGGCTAATTTTTTGTTAGATAAAATGAAAGACATGTTCGTTAGCTACATTTTATATTTTCATTGCATACAAGTTTTCATTAGATACCTAGTACCAAAACATAACTGAAATAAAGCACACACACAGAGAATTAAAGACACTAAGGGCTGTTCCACATGACCAATCAGCCCACCCAAATGTTTCCATACCTGGAAATAAGTTCCTTTAAGTCAATGGAACTTTTTAAAAAGTGGATCTCAAACTGTACTGTAAGACTTTGTTTTATATAAATACAAGCTATTTTTCCCATGTACATGAATAAACTATAATGAATCTCATGTTCACACAGTTCAACCCTTCTTTTTCTCTGTTTCCCCTATTATAGGTTTAAGCATCACACCAAAGCATGTTTTAACCACGATTTTCTAGATAAGCCAAAAAGGCTAGATTCACTGTACAAAACATATGATATTCTTTTAAGAAGAAAAGAGTGTAAACCATGTCAATGAAAGTATGGGTGGGGGATTTTTTTTAATGTCCACCATGAGCTCCAGACATATTGTTCACACACACCCACACTCCACACACACTTTGCAGGAATGGATAGGTGGAAACAAAACAATTCTGTACCATGCATACAGCTCTTGTCTTTTGTAAGAAAGGTTACAAATATTAAATTTCCAATCAGGTTTTTCTTTATTGTTCAACACGAGTAAAGGGTATTTCTGTGATTAGAATATATCCACAATATTTCAGATGTCAAGGCCCTGTGCATACAAATGCAAGTACATAATATAGGTAGTCCTTGACTTACGACCATAATTAAGCCCAAAATTTCTGTTAAATGAGAAATTTAAGTGAGTTTTGCCCCACTTTACTATCTTTCTTACCATAGTTGTTAAATGAATTGCTGCATTGATAAGTTAGTAACCTTGTTGCCATGTGAATCTGGCTTCCCCATTGACTTTGCTTGTCAGAAGGTCACAAAAGGGGATCATATGACCTTGGGATGTAGCAACGGTCATAAATATGAACCAGTTGCCAAGTCTCTGAATTTTGTTCATGTGATCATGGGGATGCTGCAGAGGTCGTTAACTGTGAAAAATGATCGTCAGTCACTTTTTTCAGTTCTATTGTAACTTTGATCTGTTGCTAAATAAACTGTTGTAAATTGAGGGCTACCTGTAATTTACTGAAATTATGGGAAAAACAACAGAAAACAGTATGGGGAGGATTCCTTTATCTAAATGGAGATGGAAATTTGGACATCCTAATTCCTTTTATATCATTTCTCTATGAACTTTAAAAAGAAAGCAAGTGAATGATCTAAAAATGGGCAGAAAAGTCTATCTGATATTTTGTGTTATTTAAATATTTATGTCCTATCCTTCTTTATAAAATTCAGAGTTAACAATGCCAGAATACGCTATTGCTCATTAATATGCTAGCTCCAGAAACCCTTTAGCCATGTGATTGATAGAATGATAGACTATAAAAAATAATGATGCATGACAAGATTGAGGGAAGTAGAAGGAGGGGAAGACAGGGAAAGATAAAATAGATGAAAAGGATCAAACAGATGACTGGAATATTCTTGGCAGATCTATGTTACTACTACATAGATAGTTCAAGATGGAAACCAGTTGAAGCAACTTGATGGCACCTTATGAAATAATTATCTTTTAGAAGTGGGATGTATGTTTCTAAAGATACTTGTCAGGTTTTCAGGCTGTCCCGTTGCAGACGCCTGCATTCTCCTTCTTATGTCAACACAAGGATAAATGCATCTTGACGTGCTGATATCACTATTACTTTATTTCTAACCAGTGGTGGGTTGCTCCCGGTTCACCCTCCTGCCCAGACATCATCAAAAACACTCTGCGCATGTGCAGAGGCACTGCACGCTCTCGAAGCGAGTGCGTGTGCCCGCGCGCTACCAACAGCAAACCGGTAATGTCGGGATTTGAAACCCACTACTGCTTCTAACTATTGATAGTAACACTGGGAATAACAGTATGTATTGAATGTAATAGAAAGAACCAAAAGAGCTATGTACAAATACACTGGCTTAAATTTTTAGGTCCCATTTGCTATCATTGTGCTATCGGTAATTCTGTACCATTGGAATAAAAATGAACAATTTTATGGTTAAATTTATAATCAAAATTATACTTCTAAGTAAAAGTTGTATTTTCTTGTGTGGGTGGATATAGAACAGTGATGGCTAACCTTTTTGCCATTGCATGCCAAAAGTGGGGGTCGCACAGGGGGATCGCACACATGCGTGCCCACACCCATAATTAAATGCCCCCCAGGCCACGCGTCCCAGCACATGCACACCAACTCCCCCGCACTCCCCCCACTTTTGGCACGTGATGGCAAAAAGGTTACCAGTGGGCCCGGTAGGTCCGTCTTTCACCCTCCCCAGGCTCCAGAGGCTTTCTTGGACCCTCCAGAGGCCAGAAACGGCCCGTTTCCCGACTTCCGGTGGGACTGGAAGGACTGTTTTTCGCTCTCCCCAGGCTCTAGAGGCTTTCTTGGAGCCTGGGGAGGATGAAAACATCCTTCCCCACCTCCCCGGAGGCTCTCTGGAGGCCGGAAACAGCCCATTTCCCAACCTCCAGTGGGCCCAGAAGGTCCGAAAATCAGCTGGCTGGCACGCACATGCGCACTGGAGCTGAGCTAGGGCAACGCTTGCGTGCCCACAGATATGGCTCCATGTGCCAACTGTGGCACGCATGCCATAGGTTCGCCATCATGGATATAGAATGTCTCTTCTAATATATTTGCCTTTATCAATTTTTAGAAGCACATGCAAAAGAATTTTACAATTCTTTAAACGTATTTGTGGTCCACTTGATTATGGACAAATTAATTAATATCTAACATGGTAATCCTAATTATAGTTTAGTCACAATTTAAGGATTCTTTACTGATGAGCTGCCTTCTATACAACATAACATTTTAAATCTCTGAAATGCTTTTTCTTCAGATATATCCTTGGTCAGGAGAAAAATATGAGAGAGAGATAGTCTAGGTCAGTTGCAAATTTAAATTTCTCCCTTTTGAATCTTCACATATTATTGGAATTGGGAAATAAGACTACATCGAAACAAAGAAATGGTTACACACTGTAATTCTATTGAAATGACAGTGTTGCCCCTGCTCTTAAACAAAGTATCTTGTAGTGTAGAGTAACCTTTGTCTCTGGTTCTGATAATGTTTGAAATGTCAAAAGAAAGAAATCAGTGGCGAACAAGAATGATGGGTGGCAGCAATCATGACTTACAGCATTCTGTGCCTTTGATGGGATCTGGCAGGCCAGTGCAGAGTCCTGGGGTGTGGGGCACAGCAACTCTCCATCTGGAGCCCAGGCTGTCACATGCTGTGTATTCATAATGGTATTCAGACTGGAAGAGAAAAAAAAGAGAGAGAGAGACCAAATAACAAGGTGTGCATTTAGTCCAATGACAGACAATTTTTTTCTTATTTTATGAAATTGTTTCTCTGCAGGATATAAGAGAACTTTATTATTTTAAAATCTATAAACTACAGCAAGGGGCGGGGGGAGAATCCAACTCTCCTAGAGATTTCAGATCATATTTTTGATGTGAAAATAGCATACAAAACAAATCATGGGCCAGTTTTCAAGTTTCAGTTTTGAGGGACTTATCATTTAATGATATAAAACAGTTACTTCTAAATCCGTAATGGTTTCTACAGAGGTAACCATTTAGCCAAAGCAGGGAAAACTGCAGTTTTGTAGCATCTTAAAGGCTAAATCACAATCACTCTCAGAGAATGCATCAGGCATTTTCTTGCAGACTATAGCTACAAAACGTGGATTTTTTTGAGTAGGTGGGAGAGGACCGCTATACATAGTCAAGAGATATAGAAAACTAACTTGTGGTTGCCATCTAGTGGTTTTCTGGATGTTGAAGACCAGATCTCTAGCCCTATTACACACAACTACCTATCCTAATATGTCTACTAATCAACAACAACGGATTGTGCTACTGAACATACTACAAAACTGTGAAATCCAGATTCCAAAGCTATCTTCATATCTCCTCATGTAGCAGTAGAATAGGACATAATACAATCAGCCCAACTTCAGACCTTTGCTCCAGTTCTAATCTTATATATGCCTATTGTCTGCTAGTAATGCTGGATTTTACAGCAAGCAAACTAGCCAATCCCTATGTCAAAAATAATTTTGAAATAAGCCAAATCTGACATCTAAAGAGTAAGCATAGTACTGTAAATATTTGTCAGCATGTGTGGGTAAAAGAATCAACATAAATTCAAAAGTTAATTTCTACCAATCATGCAAGGGTTTCTCTGAATTTGGGCATAACTGTCAAATTAAACAAATATATTAACTGCATATTATCACCCAACTTGCTTTCCGTTTCTCCCATACACGTTCAGGGAAGTTATGTAATTTCTGATTCAAGATGATACAGGAAAACTTTCTAACCTATGAAAACCCAACTTGAAAAAGAGAACACCAAAGATCTAGAACCAAAATGTTTGTTTTAATATGATGTGTGCTTGTAAGTGCCTCTCTTTAATACCATTTTAATTTGAATTGATCCTTTTAAGACCTAAATATTTCACCAAACAAAATTATATTTATTCTAGCACAATGGAGATTAACATAACAATGCAAGTTGTTCATGAAACATTTCCCTGAGAACCCAGATGTGGAGTTTTCCTAAGAAAGAAAAATAACTACATTTCTTTAATATTCTAAATGGATGAACACTCAAAGTATATCTGTGTCTTACAGTACAGTATTCTAATCTAAACAATTTCAACTGAACATAAAAGGCAATGCAAGTGCATAGATGCATTATACACTATAAATGCAAAGTCCTGGTAGCACAGTGGTTAGAATGCCGTATTGCAGGCTAATTCTGCCCACAGTCTGGAGTTCAATTCTGACAGTGCTCAAGGTTGACTCAGCCTTCCAGGTTGGTAAAATGAGGACCCAGATTGTTGGGGGCAATATGCTGATTCCATAAGCCACCCAGAGAGCACTATAAAGCACTATGGGATGGTATATAAGTCTGCTATTGCTATATAAAAATGTCTTCCACTTCCTTGCCAACATACTGTAAATTGTTAACTGGGGGCAGAGAAGGACTAGGAAATGAGTCGATTCCTTTTAAGTACTATATTTCTATGTTTTTACTGGCTAAATAAATCAATCACTGAATTTCTGCAACAGAGATTTTACAGATTGTTCTGCATATGTATTATGATATTTCTTCTGACTATAAAATGTGGGCATGTTACGCTAAGCTTGGCTAACCAACCTACAAATAGCCTGAAAGCTTTATTGCATCTATGAATGGAATCAGAGGAAAAGTACAAATGGGTTTGATGGTGAGCACTTTGGGGTTTAATTACTGTAACTGCAGATGGGATGTAAGTTACCTAGCTATTTTTATATTCTATGTTTTAATATAATCCTAACATTGGACTGAAACCTTTCACTATCCAGGAAGTTTTAATAATTACCTTGCTCAAATACAATAATGGTTATAAGGTCAAGTTGTCTAAGTTCTGATTCAACAGAAAGCAAACATATAGCTGTGGCAATGAATGACTTCAGGCATAACAACCATCGCCATCTGAATGCACAATTGCCTCCACATGGGGAGCATGCTAAGACTGCATCTGTCACCTGTGCAGCTGCCCTTAGTTCAGATTGATCCTAGTTCTGTAAAAAAAAAATCTATAGGCAGTAAGGCAGGAATAGCCAATCTATGTGAACTGAACTACAGTGCGTAGCATCCCTTAGTTCTGATCCATCTCCAGCCTCCTTTGAGCTCTTTGAGAGACTTTGAGATGACTGGCCAAAATAAAACTCCCCCCCAACCCTAATTAAAGCCATCCCAAGATGCCTCTCTCTTTCCAATAGTCCTCACAGTTCTTAGAAGATAAAAACCAAGCTTTAAATTTCTTGTTAAATAACAGCACTAAAAATTATATTGTCTGGAGAACACTTGGTTCTAAGCTAGCAGAATGGGGAGCTCTGGCCTCCCAATTTAAAGATTAATTTGTTTGTTTGGAACACACAAAGCAGTTTTAAGTGAACAAGCAACAACAAAAGATAACTCTAAGTAAATATTATTTTCCCCAAGATGTGAATTTCATGAGGATCGATCAAGCCCACACCTTTGGTCTCCCAATACATTTTCTAACCTGGTTTAATCTTATTTCGTGGACCTTGCTGTGTACATCCATATGGAAGAACAGCTGTTACATGGGCAAAGTGTTCTCTGCAGCTAATCACCTTGAAAACCAATACCTTCCCAACAGAGGCCAGGAAGGGATGTTTATGTAGGAGTTAAAGCTAACACTGAAGGCAAATACAGTCAGCTGGAAAATTGATCATAACTGTATAACAAAACACAAAGGGAATATAAGGCAATTGTTAAGTATTCTGTATCACCATCACGCTTATCTTAAAAGGAAGAAAATGGCTTGGACCTTAAAGTGCAGGAACCTAAATATGTTATTTTGGAATCATTTTATCAATAAAAAATTCATACGTACATATACAGTATATTCAAGACTTATTTTATCTTCATAGGACATAGTAGAGCTTTGTAAAAACAACAGTATCAGTGAAAAGGGACCACTTTTGTTTGTTTATTTTTTATGTCCCCTTTATTATTATTTATAAATAACTGAAGGTGGCGAACACACCCAATACTGCTTCTGCCTCCTATTTTTCATATAGCAACATTGTGAGGTCATAGCCTGTATTGTATTGAGCTACAGACCTCACTAAATACTTGGTATAGGTTCTGTTCCTGTTTGTCACTCATACTTGTAAGTTAATATGTGCACAAGGAGGCTACCTGTGCAGAATCAAATGTACAAAGACCTTATCTGTGCAATCTGTAAATACACAACCACTGTACTTTTGGAATCTAAGAAATCTCGACCTGCAAGCTCTTAAGAAAATGAAAAGAGGATAAGAGATCAGAGCATTTAAATATCCCAGTAAGGCAGTAAAAGCAATTGAAGGTTGGGAGAGAGGTCAACATTGTCCCAATAGGCAGAGCACAATGATCTTCTGTATATTTCTGTAAACTCTCTTCCCCATCAGATCATCAGATAAAATGTTATACCAAATTACCAGAAGCAACTTAGTTCTACAACAGAATTGGGAACCATTTAAGAACTAGAAGCAATACTTAACATATTTTTTTTAGGAATGCATGGGTCACAGTAGTAAATTATGCAAAATGGGGTGAACTAAAAAAAAATTCTTGGTTTTTGAGGGGAATTTTAAAGTGTTGGCGTTTAACATTGTAAAGTTTAACACTAAAGTTTAATTTAACACTAACAAATTGGATTTTTTAAACTGTTGTTTGTTTAAGTTAAACCTATTGCTTTAAGTTAGATTTGAGTGTTTTGTCTCAAAATGAAAGGAAAACACACTACAATTTTCAGTAATTATGGGAACTGAGACAGTTATAAAAATGGGATTTGATTAGGTCTTCAGTTGATCTACATGTTGGAGCACAGGGGCAGTTTTTCAGTGTAGGGCCCTAATTAATTTATTTGTTCAATTTATTACCCTCTCAATCACCAAGGCAACTCTAAGCAGTTTACAGTTTAAAAAAAAAAAAACAAGTTTAAAACATGCAGTAAGAAAATATCTCTCACCTCCTTGAGAAACCAATATTACAGAGGTGCTATTCAGCAGGTTCTGACCAGTTCTGGAGAACCGGTAGTGGAAATTTTGAGTAGTTCGGAGAACTGGTAAATACCACTTCTGACTGGCCCCGCCCCATCTATTCTCTGCCTCCCGAGTTCCAGCTGATCGGGAGGAAATGGGGATTTTACAATAACCTTCCCCTGGAGTGGGGAGGGAATGGAGATTTTACAGTATCCTTCCCCTACCACGCCAACCAAGCCACGCCCACAGAATGTGTAGTAAAAAAATTTGAATCCTACCACTGCAATATTGTAATACAAAACAAGATACACCATGCATAGTTACAAAATGCTCTGTCTCAGGTTTGAAAAAACTCAGGTCTTAATGGCGTTTTTTTTTTTTTTTTTTTTGAAGGACAACGGGATTGAAGCTCTGCAGAATTCAGGGGAGAGAATGCTAGACCATAGGTCTGAGAGGGTAGAGAAGGAAGGTCCTAAAATATGACATTTCTTTACTGGCCTGGAACCAAAGAGGTTACTCCAGACAGCCAAACAGGCTGTCTGGAGTAACCCAATAATTTTCCTTCTAACAATAACTATTCATAGAGTTAATAATGGTAGCCTTAGTTTCTTAGAAAAATCAAATATGTCATTTTGGATTGAAAGAATACTTTATGCAGATAGTTTTAAAAAATAATAATTAACAAGAAATCGTGCTGACCATCCCAGA